GTCCATCAACTTTGCAGAAGCTTGTGATTCGTTCCCGCCCCAAGTGGGAGGTGCCAAGGTGCTTTTTCGGGGCGCCCCAAGAGTGAGTGCTAAGATTCTGAGTAAGGGAAATGGACCTGCTTAGAAAAGAAGACCCAGGAAAGACAGCGAATTCCATTTCTTCAAAAGTTACCACAGGGTGAAATCCATGTAATTGACTCCAGGAAGAGAAACTTGAAATGAAGCGGATTTTTTAATGAAAATAAAAATAAAGAACTTAAAAAAAAAAAAAAAAAAAACCCTCAGACGAACTCTTTCTGCCGGGTCCATAACAAAACAATTCTATGGAATTTTAGAAAAGGAAGGTATTTATGAGGCTTTTCTACGTTTTTAGTCCGTATGGTAACTTGTAACTAAAGAAAAAAAAAACTGAGTAAATTGTATATATATACACACATAAAAAAGAACAAATTAATGAAACGTCTTCCCAAGATCCAAATGGTCTCAGAGTTCCTTAAAAATATGCCAAATGTGCCAAGGGTACATCCCTGGCATACAGTGATTATAAATCTAGAATAGGAACTCAACACTATTTTCTATCCCTATGCCTATCTTCTAATTACAATACCCCTGGGGAGTGATTTTCACTCTCTGAAAACCATGCATAAAACATGATCAGATGAGCTTGCCTTGGGATGTATTTTGTTAAATGCTCACTTGAAAGGCAATGCTAAAAGTGTATGCACGGCATTAATTCTCTCCAATAAATTATGCTTGAACTTTCAGAAAATAGGCTAGTCAGTACTTCAACAGAATCAACAACCACTTTGTGTTTTAGAATTAAAGAATCTTAAAAGATCTAGACAACAGGTGAAATTACATATTATATTACAATTACATTAATCACATTATAATTCAATTAATTAACTAATTATATTATAATAGCAGGAAATGTATTGGAAATAACCTGTAGCTTTGTCTAAAAACCTTGGAGTCTAAGACTACATTAGAATTCCTACCAGAAAAATCAACAAGCCTCAGGGTATTACTTTCTTCTTTGTCATCACACACCTCTCAATACATAATCGTTCTTGAATGCACATTATTTCTTTTTCAGTTAAAGTGGCTTCTACAAAGGCCTGAATTACTTAATTCAAACTCATTTCCTAGGTCCCTGCAGAGATTAGAACAGCATAGAGAATCTGCTGGTCTTTCTCATAGTTCAGATGCCAAGTAAGTGGCCAGAAATAATTGCAAATATACCTTTGCACACATGAGCAGTTTATTACCATAGCTATGTTTATATGTTTGTCTTTTAATAATAGGGAAGAAAACGTAATAAGGTAAAAAATTGGGAAACAAGCAGTGATCTCTAGCAGATATTCTTTTAAAAAATATTTTTAACATTTATTTTTGAAAGAGACACACACAGAGTGTGATCAGGGGAGGGGCAGAGAGAGGGAGACACAGACAGAATCCAAAGCAGGCCCCAGGCTCTGAGCTGTCAGCACAGAGCCCAAGGCAGGGTTCAAACTCACCAACTGCGAGATCATGACCTGAGCTGAAGTTGGAAGCTTAACATATTGAGCCACACAGGCCCCCTGCAGAAGTTTTTAATTTAAATGTTTACTTTGAGGAAAGCTTCTCCTTTGAGGTTTGCTTTTCCTTTATTTAAATAAAATACAGAGAACTGCGTGGTGTGAACTTTAAAATGTCAAAGGCCTAGGGCATTAAGAAAAGTTGTAGTACATTTGTATGAAATATCTGCCTAAACTTATACAAAAAAAATATCTTTTAAGTCATGTAAAATAGGTGTGCTTGCTTTGCTCAGGCAGAATGGAGGCACCTGGGTGGCTCAGTTGGTTAAGTATCTAACTTCAATTCAGGTCATGATCTCAGTGTTTGTGAGTTCAAGCCCCTCTTTGGGCTCTGTGCTGACAGCTCTAAGCCTGGAGCCTACTTTGGATTCTCTCTTTCTCCCTCTCTCTCTCTCTCTCTACCCCTTCCCCACTTGTGCTCTGTCTCTCTCAAAAATAAATAAACATTAAAAATTTTTTTTACATAAATGATAATCACTGTAAATAGCATTGCATTATATGACATATATTACAAACCAGAGATTGCAATAATTAACATATGCTTTAAATAAAAAGAATACCTTTATTCTTAAAAAAATTTTTTTTTAATGTTTATTTATTTTTGAGAGAGAGGGACAGAGCATGAGTGGGATGGAGCAGAGAGAGAGGGAGAGACAAAATCCAAAGCAGGCTCCAGGCTCTGGGTTGTCAGCACAGAGCCGGACGCAGGGCTGGAACTCATGACCTGAGCCAAAGTCAGATGCTTCACCAACTGAGTGACCCACTTAGCTGCCCCATATTCTTTAAAAAATTTTCAACGTTTTATTTATTTTTTGAAAGAAAGAGCATGAGCAGGGGAGGGGCACAGAGGGAGAGGAGGACAGAGGATCCAAAGAGGGCTCTGTGCTGACATGCTGACATTAGCAACCCCAAGGCAGGGCTTGAACTCACAAAGCGGGAGATCACGACCTGAGCTGAAGTTGGACACTCAACCAATTGAGTCACCCAGGCGCCTCCAGAATACCTTTATTCTTGGGGACCTAAAAATTTCATCATAATTTATATGATGTGCTAAGCCCTATTGTAAAAAAAAAATCCTGTCATAGTCTCTGTCTTCAAGAAATTAACATTTAAAATGTTTGTTAATTAATTAACTAATTTAGAGAGCATGCGTGCAAGTGCAAGCAGGGAAGGGGCAGACAGAGAGGGAAAAAGAATTCTAAGCAGGCTTCTTGCTGTCAGTGCAGAGTCGGATGTGGTGCTTGACCTCAGGAACCCTGAGATCATGACCTGAGCAGAAATCAAGAGTCGGACCTGACTGGGCCACTAGGCACCCCAAGAGGCTAACATTTAAATTATGGGAACTGAACAGATATAGAAAATGTAGAAGATTTTTATGAAGAAACAAAATTTGTATCCACTGTTAATAAATATTCACAGAGAATTTGGGTTTTTTTAAGCTAAAAAATCATATATTTTCCATTAATAACAAAGACAATCTATACCCAATGTACATCAATACACTTATATGATTTCGATCATTTATATCAATGGAAACATTAGCACAAAAAGTTGAAGCAGGAACCAATTAATGTAATTGCTCAGTCTAGATGGCCTAATGGGAATGAAGAACCTATCAATGTAAAACGAAGTCAGCCATTAAATTTATTAATGGGGGCGTCTGATGGGCTCAGTCAGTGGAGCACAACTCTTGATATCAGGGTTTTGAGTTACAGCCCCACGTTGGGTGTAGAGATTACTTACAAAATAAAATATTTTAAAAAATATATTGATGAAATATATCAGAGGACGTTAAAGCTCTCCAGTATAGTCTGGCTAAATTTTCATCAGTCCATCGTCCCAGTGGAGTAGAGAGTACTGACACACATGCAAGTTTGGTCTTCTTGGGTTGAAATACCTTTGACTCTTTAAAAATCACTGCAGCGTGGGCAAATAGGTTAAATAGGTGATGGGGATTAAGGAATGCATTTGTCCTGAAAAATTTAACAGAAGACCATGGGGAAGGGGAAGGGAGAAAAAAAAGTTAGGGAGGGAGCCAGACCATAAAAGACTCTTAAAAACTGTGAATAAACTGAGGGCTGATAAGGGGTGGAGGGAGGGGAAAGTGGGTGGTGGGCACTGAGGAGGTCACCTGTTGGGATGAGCACTGGGTGTTGTATAGAAACCAATTTGACAACAAATTTCATATTAAATAAATTAAAAAAAAAGGAATGCACTTGTGATGAGCACCAGGTGTTAGACGGAAGTGTTAAATCACTATATTGTACATCAGAAACTAATATAACTGTATGTTAGCTGTAATTAAACACAAAACTTAAAAAGAGAAGTCATTGTTGGCCAAAAAAAAGTATTACATAAATTAAAAAAAAATCACTCAGAATTTATGTCAAAGTTTGTTATTTTTTTTTTAATTTTTTTTCAACGTTTTTAATTTTTTATTTTTGGGACAGAGAGAGACAGAGCATGAACGGGGGAGGGGCAGAGAGAGAGGGAGACACAGAATCGGAAACAGGCTCCAGGCTCCGAGCCATCAGCCCAGAGCCTGACGCGGGGCTCGAACTCACGGACCGCGAGATCGTGACCTGGCTGAAGTCGGACGCTTAACCCACTGCGCCACCCAGGCTCCCCTGTCAAAGTTCTTTAAAGACAAATCATAACACCTGTTATATTACAAGTTTTTCCTCCTGGATCTTCCTGACTTGTTTTGGCCCTCCTGGAAAAGACCCGGCTCAAAAAAATTAAATAGAAAAAGGTTCTTGCAGCATGAACCTAGTATTAGACCATACAGAGTATTAATAAAACCACGACCACCAAAGCAAATCCCTGAAGCAGTTATTCTAGCTTGCAAGTGCTATTTTAAATGTTTTACATAAACTAGAGCAATTTTTTTTTTTAAGTTAGTTTATTTTGAGAGACAGAGAGAGAGGGCGTGAGCGAGCAAGAGTGCATGCAAGCAGGGGAGAGTCAGAGAGAGAATCCCAAGCAGGTCCCGACCTGCCAGAGAAGAGCCCTAGAGCCGGCTGAATCGCAGGAACTCGGAGATTATGATTTGAGACGGAATCAAGAGTCCCATGCTTAACCCACTAAACCTTACCCAGGGGCCTCAAAACCAGAACAAGTTAAAAGCTGGCCTCTCAGATTACACTTTTGATTTATCTTTACCTCGACTATAGTTTTTATAGGTAATTACACTGTCTTCTCAACCGAATTCCTGATTCTCGAGTCTTACATCTTACCATGCAGAAAAATCAGGCGCAGATTAGCTCTGGTTCCAGCATAAACACACCAGGAAGTGGGAAGGAGGAGGCGGCACAGGTGGGAGGGATCTGGGCTGGGGCGGTACAACCGCTAGGGGCGGTGCAGGCCGGCGGAACCCGCGCGAACGAGGTTGGTGTTGCGAAGGGGACTAGTCCAGTGCAGGACTTAGGGCTGTTGGAGCCCAGCTGGTTCCGGTTGGGAAAAATGGCGGTGGCTGGGGCGGCGTCCCGGGAGCAGCTGGTGGGCTGGTGTACCCAGCAGTTAAGGAAAACTTTCGGCCTGGATGTCAGCGAGGAGATCATGCAGTGAGACTGGTTGGGGTCTGAGGCGGGAAGGACCTCTGGGATGTGCACTGGCTGAAAGGGGAAGAGGGGAAGACTAAAAAGTTGATGAGAGTGAAGAAATATAGAAGGGCTGCTGTGGGACTCTAGGCGCCGAATTTGACCTCCGGCTTTACACTGCAGCTTCTGGGACAGGGTGTCAGGCTCCACAATCGGTCGGTGGGGCCTTTTTTCTTAGGAAAACTCCAGATCTCTGATAACTAAACCTGTAAGACTGTCCCTGGAGCCAATTTCCTGATAGATTCTGCAGAGAAGGGCCAAGCCAAATTATCTTTGCAAAAATTCCTTGCTCTGAGCATTTGAGTTTGCCCGATCTGCGTGGTGTTTAATATTAAATAGGACCTGGACTTTAAATGGAGGCGGCTGAAGTAAGGTGCAAATAGCTCCTGACTGAGGAGTCCCAGGTTCTATTTTCTGTTGTCATTTACCACTTTTGGAATCTTGGGCAACTTTTTTTTTTTTTTTTTTTTTTTTTTAAATATTGGGCTACCTAATTTTCCTCTCTGTACCTTAATTTCCTCATGTGTAAACTGAATACTGAGCAGAGTTTATCTTTAATACTTTGATACCTATAAAATGGAGATCGTGACATAATTTAGTATTTTTTCTTTCAATTGATTTAACATATTTGTTGCTCTGCTGCATAACATGCTGTGGCCATAAAGGCTCTTGAGACCATTGGGTTCCGCGTGGTTGAGGAGTGCTGACTGGGGGAAATGTAGGGTGTTGTGGGAGCACGGAGTAAAGGATTCCCACTAAGATTTGAGAAACTTGAAAGGTTTACTTCAAGGAATCACTTTCACCTGAAAACTAAAGTGTGGGTAGGTGGAAGTGCAGTGTTCAGGCAGAGGGGGAAACTTCTTTAATAGTTGGGCTTGATCAAGGAACCTGAAAGTTTTTTTTTTTTTTAAGTTTATTTATTTTGAGAGAGAGGGAAGGAGGAGCAAAAAGAGAGGGAGAGAGACAATTTGTGCTGGCTCGGTGCTGTCAGCACAGCCACTTCTTGGCTACCAATAATATAATACTATTTGAACTCATTTCACTTACTAGGTTTTTATAGTTATTGCACAACAGGCTATGATGCCACGTTGAAAGCATTTTTGTGTACATTTGCTGTGTCTTGCCTAGCATTTTACTGAGAATTACTCAGGTGTACTATACTAGTGTGCTAACTTGAACAATTTGGCATGAATGGCCTGAATTTTTACAGACAGCACAGAACTGTTAACTTCCTAATCAGTGATTCACTTATGGAACATTAAGATTTGTACACAGGTTTAGCAAAATAAACTGTTCTACAATCTGCATTAGCTCATGTTTTGGATGATTCTGTTTTGAAAGATTTGTTATATAACACATTTAGATGTATGTTCCTTATTTTACTTTGTTAAATAGTTAAAATGACATTTATTCAAATGTTACTGGAACTCCATAAATCCTTCCCTGGTAATTTGAATACCAGAGTTAAATGATCCCCTGAGGTTTCTTGCCGTCCTTTTGTAAGAACTCAATAGCAATTAATCTTTTGATGGGATGCTAACTTTGGGGATCAAGTTGATTAAACTGTAAAAGTCCTGAAAAACAGTGGTCTTTTCTTTTTTAATCTGTGATGGATTAGAAGATGCTCTTGATGCCCAATGGCACAGGTTTATTCACCTATAGATCATAACACTGCAAATGCATCCACCACATTAAGAAAATAACCTAGTACATATGCTACTGGTGATGGCAAAATCTCATTTTTTTTAATGATACAGCATTATTATAATTTTTCTTATATCCCATACCAGTATATCTGAATTACAATTTATTCAGATCTTATAATGCTTTCATGGTCTGATATCTTAATTTACAAGTTATTTTTAAAAATTCTTTTCTAATGGTGTAACATATTCACTGTAGAAATCTTAAAAAATCAGAAAAAAGATAAAGAAGGAAACCAAAATTAACCATAATACCACAATCCAGAGATTATCATTGTTTCACTCTTCGTGTTTTTTTCTTATGCATATTGTAATACATTTTCAAAACATAGGGGAAAAAAGAAAAGAAAAATAAACTCTTGTTAATTGACCATAGTGGTAATTATTTGGGGGTATAAGCTCTGGCCTTTTTTCTACACATGTGTATGTGTATACACATTGCTTTTATAGCAAATGGAATCATATGCTCTGCACTCTATCCTATTATTTCACTTACCATTATAGGAGGGCATTTTCTCAGAATAATAATTATTCAAAACTTTCACATTTAGTGGTAGCATATTACATTTTTGAAAGTCCAAAAAGTTGAATTCATTAGTCCCTTTTCCATCAATAGATGTTTTAAATAGATTCTAGTTTTTCATTAATTCAAACAGTGAGGCAGTTAACTTTTGCATAAAATTTCCTGTCTCTTATGTCTTATAAAGTCTTATAAATGGAATTACCGGATTATTTTTAAGGCACTTCAAATATATTGGCCTGTCAATTTTTAAACAAGTTGTACTGACTTGAACTGTTACCCCATTTCACTTTTATGAACCTTTATAACATTTCCTTAAAATAGATCTGCTCATTACGATGTGATACCAATCTTGATATATAATTTTTGAGAATATTAAATAAACAACTGTTTAGATTGTTCTATGTACTCATATTTTTAGCAAAAGAAATTTTAGGTTTTATAATATAGAGATTAAGTGATTTGTATTCCTCGGAAAATATGACTGCAGATATGTAGTTATAGGAAGTATTCCTATGTTAAGGACAGCTCCACAAGCCTATCTTCAAAACAGTAATTTAATTCTTCCAACAAGAGGGTTACATAAAGGTTTTATTATGAACAAGCTGTGGTCAGGATCTTTGTCTAATCAAACTTATATCCCTAGCACCTAGCATAGAATTTGGCTTAAAGTAAACACTTCAGTAGCTCAGTCGGTTGAGCATCTGACTTCGTGATCTCACAGTTCATGGGTTTGAGCTCTGTGTCGGGCTCTGTGATGACAGCCTAGAGCCTGCTTTGGGGATTCTGTGTCTCCCTCTCTCTCTGCCCCTCCCCCACTTACTCTGTGTGTGTGTGTGTGTGTGTGTGTGTGTGTGTGTGTGTGTCTCCCCCCCGCAAAATAAATAAAACATTTAAAAAAATCGTAAACACTTTAATGGATTAATGAATAGTTTGTACTACGTCAGTTTATATTGTGATTATTGAAAGACATAGTATAAGCAGTCTTGTTTAAACAACTTCTATTTTTGCTTCCTGAGGTATGTTTTGTCAATTGAGAGTGCTGAAGAGATACGAGAATATGTCACTGACCTCCTTCAGGGAAATGAGGACAAAAAAGGTCAATTCATAGAGGAGCTTATAACCAAATGGCAAAAGAATGATCAGGAGTTGAGTTCTGATGCTCTGCAGCAGTCCTTCAAAAAAGATGGTAAGTGGGGCGCCTGGGTGGCTCAGTTGGTTGAACGTCTGACTTCAGCTCGGGCATGATCTCATGGTTCCTGAGTTCAAGCCCTGCATTGGGTTCTGTGGTGACAGCTCAGAGCCTGGAGCTGCTTCAGATTCTTTGTCTCCCTCTCTCTCTGCCCCTCCCCTGCTTTCAGTCTGTCTGTCTCTCTCTCAAAAATAAACAAACATTAAAAAAAAAATTTAGAGAAAAAGGTGGTAAGTTAATATAATTAAGTAATGGGCTGGTTTATAGAACCTCCTATTTTCTGTAACTGCTATTTCCTCACAGCTAACTTTTTTTTTTTAATTTTTTTTTTCAACATTTATTTATTTTTGCGACAGAGAGAGACAGAGCATGAACGGGGGAGGGGCAGAGAGAGAGGGAGACACAGAATTGGAAACAGGCTCCAGGCTCTGAGCCATCAGCCCAGAGCCCGACGCGAGGCTCAAACCCACGGACCGTGAGATCGTGACCTGGCTGAAGTCGGACGCTTAACCGACTGCGCCACCCAGGCGCCCCTCCTCACAGCTAACTTAAGCAGAATCATATGTATCCGTATTTTTCAGTTCTACTCAAACTGGAATCAATACTGTTTTGTTGAGACTTTTTCAACTTAGAAAATATCACAAGAATACCTGTTTGCAGATAAAAATGTGGTTTCAGAATAGTTTGAAAAATTTATCCATGTTTTAAGAAAACAATTTTCAGGAGTACCTGGGTGTCTCAGTCAGTTAAGCATCCGACTTCCATTCAGGTCATGATCTCACAGTTCCTGAGTTTGAACCCTGCATCAGGCTCTGTGCTGACAGCTCAGAGTCTGGAACCTGCTTTGGATTCTGTCTCCTCTCTGTCTGCCCCTCCCCCACTCACTCTCTGTGTCTCTCTCAAAACAAATAAACATTGGGAAAAAAATTTTTAAAGATTTTAGTTACCTGTATACCTGGATGAAAGTAAATGTTGACCAACTTTAGTATGAATAGCATTTAGAAGTAACTATTTAGTTAAAAGATATGAAAGATAAACACCAAACTAAATAATCTAAGTCATTATTATTATATAATCTAAACTATATCAGATTTTAGGGTCACCTGGGTGGCTCAGCCAGTTAAATATCTGACTCTTGGCTTTGGCTCAGGTCACAATCTCATGGTTTGTGAGATTGAGCCCCATGTTAGGCTCTGCACTGACAGCATGGAGCCTGCTTAGAATTTTATCTCTTCTTCCCTCCCTCCCCCTCCCCCCTCCCTTTCTCTCTCTCTGCACGTCCCTCCCTCCCTCTCTTCTCTCTCAAATAAATAAATAAACTTTAAAAATAAAATAAAGTAGCAGATTTTAATTTACTTTCTTAATCCCAGCGAGTAGTGTTTACCACTGACTATCTTGAAAATTATGGTTTATATTTAATTCTGGTTTGAGAGGAAAAGCTAATGTAAAAACCTTCCTGACTGCATATCTTCACTCTAAATATTCAGCATCACCTTCTGTTTATTACCTATCAGTTCACCAATGAATCCCATTATTATCAATCTATATACGTATATGTATAATTTTTTTTTCTTTTAAAGAAATGTTGGATGGGCAGAGATCAGGAGACCAGCTAAAGAGGAGTAGGAGGAAAGGCAGAAATAGACAGGAAGTTCCTGCATTTGCTGAACCTGACACAACCACGGAGGTCAAAACACCTTTTGATTTGGCCAAGGTGAGTGCTTATAGAATGAATCATTTCCTAGCTGTATGAAAAAGTGGAAGTGACTGATACATTTCAGAGAGCAAAGTGTGCAAATTGTTCTAGAGTGGCAATTATTCAACAAATGCATGAATTTTATGGAGAAAAAGTGATAATGATGATACATTACTTTCTATATGGTAGATTTTTTTGGCAGCCTGATTTAAAAAAAAATTTTTTTTAAATATTTATTTATTTTTGGGAGACAGAGAGACAGAGTGCATGCGGGGAAGGGGCAGAGAGAGAGGGAGACAGAGAATCTGAAGCAGGCTCCAGGCTCCAAGCTGTCAGCATAGAGCCTGACGTGGGGCTTGAACCCATGAAGTGCAGGATCATGACCTGGGCTGAAGCTGGATGCCTACCCGACTAAGCCACCCAGGTGCCCCTGGCATCCTGATTAAATAATTATTATAAGAGCATCTTGGTTAGAAATGAGATTGAGAAAGATATACATATATACATATATATATATCTTACATATATATACATATATATATATATTTTACACATATATATATATAATATACATAATGGAAAATATTTGATGAAGTGCACCAGGGCTTCATTTTCAGCATTTTGTGTGTGTGGGTTTTTAATAAAAAAATGCACAATTATAGCTGTTATTAGAAGAGTGTTCCTACTTTGAGCCATCTGCCCTTGCACCATCGTCGTCATCATTTAGTGTTTAGAGTTTTTTTCGTATTCTCTCATGGCTCTCAAAATAGCCCTGTGAGGTAAGCAGAAATATTTATAATCAGGGAAATTTGAGAAACTAAATTTCCCAACATAAGGGAATAGTTAATTATGCTGAGATGGCAGATAGGTGATCAAAAAATTCTGAGTGTGATGACCATGCAATAAAACATGGAAAAGTGTTTGCAAAATAATGTTAAGTTCAAGGGGAAAAAAAAAAAGAGAGACTTAAGCCTTTTCCCAAGTGGAATAAAATGAGCAAAGAAGCCTTGTAAGCAAAAGAAAAACACAAATGACCAATAAACATTAAAAGATGTTTAACTTTACCAGTTTGTCACCCTAATTGCCTGGGACTTTATCAGTTTTAGCACTGTAAGTCCAGTATTCTGGGATTTTCCTAAGTCCTAAGCAAACCGTGGTAGTTTGTGTATTAATGTGTATTGGTTGTATTGATCACTAGTAATCAATAAACACATATTAAATCCCTGAGGTATTGCCTATAATTAAAAAAAATTTTTTTAATGTTTATTTTTTGAAAGAGACAGAGCACAAGTGGGGGAGGGGCAGAGAGAAAGGGAGACACAGAATCCAATCCAGGCTCTGAGCTATTAGCACAGAGCCCATTGTGAGGATCAGACTTAGGAACCATGAGATCATGACCCGAGCCCAAGTCATATACTCAACCCAGTGAGCTACCCAGGCGCCCCGCCTATAATTTTAAATTGCTAAAGATTTTAAAAATAGAATACTCAGTGATGGTGAAGTTGTATTAAAACAAGAGCCCCTGTACACTACTGGTGGCAATGTTAATTGGTTTAAACTCTTTGGGGAACAGTTTGGTAGCATACATCAAGAACCAGAAATGTTCCTATCTTTTTGACTTGTTAATATGACTCAGAAATTTAACATAAGAAAGTAATCAGAATTGCACACAAAAGAACTATTGAAAATGTGAACTGATCTGTTTAGCAGTAAGAGAAAGACTAAAATTATACTTCCCTCATTTGATGGAATATCATTCAACTAATAAAATTATTCACCAGAATATATCATTTGGGAAAACATTTGTCATAAAATATTGAGTGACAAATGTGTGAACGAAATACGTAGGTTTGATTTTTTTGTGTTTAAAAAAATTTTTTTTTAATGTTTACTTATTTTAGAGAGAGAGACAGAGAGAGCCAGCATGAGTGGCAGAAGGGCAGAGAGAGAGGGAGAATCTGAAGCAGGCTCCAGGCTTCATTCGGCTCAGGTCGTGATCTCATGGTTAGTGGGTTTGAGCCCCACATTAGGTTCTGTGCTGACAGCTTGGAGCCTGAAGCCTGCTTCAAATTCTGTGTCTCCCTCTCTCTCTGCCCCTCTCCTGCTCCTGCTCTCTCTCTCAAAAATAAATAAAACATTAAAAAAAGGTCTTTTTAAGTTTTTTTTTTAATTGATTTTTTGTCTTTAAAAAATACTTGGAGCGCCTGGGTGGCTTAGTTGAGTAGTCAACTCTTGATTTCAGCTTAGGTCGTGATCTCACAGTTGGTGGGATCAAGCTCTGAGTCCAGCTGCAAGCTGAGGGTGGAGCCTGCTTGGGATTCTCTCTTTCTGTCTCCCTCTTCACCTTTCCTGCTCATGCATGTGCTCTCTCTCACAAAAAACAAAAAAAACTTATTCTATACACACACAAACATTTTCACGTGCACACACATAGAAAGACTGAAGGAAAGTGTTAAAAATGGTGTTTCTTCAGGTGTTATGACAATAAATGTTTTAATTTTTCCTCTTTATACTCTGTTTTCCTCTTTATATATAAATATAAATATAAATATAAAATATATATACAAATATATATAAATATATTTATATTTATACTTTATACTTTATACTTTATATATTTATCTTTATACTCTGTTTTCCTCTTTATATATAAATATAAATATAAATATAAAATATATATAAAAATATATATAAATACATATATATTTATATATATATAAATATATATATGGTGTTTCTTCAGGTGTTATGACAATAAATGTTTTAATTTTTCCTCTTTATACTCTGTTTTCCTCTTTATATATAAATATAAATATAAATATAAAATATATATAAAAATATATATAAATATATTTATATTTATACTTTATACTTTATATATTTATCTTTATACTCTGTTTTCCTCTTTATATATAAATATAAATATAAATATAAAATATATATAAAAATATATATAAATATATATATATAAATATATATAAATATATATATAAATATATATATATAAATAAATATAAATATAAAAATATTTTCTATTTTTTTTTTACTTTTTTACCATGAACAAGAATAGCCTTCCTAAAAACCAGCTTCATTGAGGTGTAATTAAATACATATGTAATTGTACATATTTAAGATATACAATTTGATAAGTTTTTTAACCATCTTAGTTTTTTAAATGTATACTTTAGTAGTGCTAAAAGTATTTTCATATTGTGCAATAGATCTCCAGAACTTTTTCATCTTGTAAAGCTGAAACTCTGTACCAGTTAAATAGCTCTCCATTTCTCTTGCTGCCAGTCCCTGTCAACTACCATTCTACTTCCTGTTTCTGTGAATTTGCTTTACATCTAAATGGAATCAAGCAGTATTTGTCTTTTTGTGCCTGGCTTATTTCATTGAACATAATGTTCTCAAGGCTCATTTATGTTGTAGCATATGACAGAATTTCCTTTTTTTTTTTAATTTTTTTAATGTTTATTTAGTTTTGAGAGAGAGAGTGTGTGAGCAGGGGAGGAGCAGAAAGAGGGATACAGAGAATACAAAACAGGCTCCATGCTGTCAGCAGAGAGCCTGACATGGGGCTCGAACTTGTGAACTGTGAGATCATGGTCTGAGCCAAAGTCGGGTTCTTAACCGACTGTGCCACCCAGGTACCCCAATTCATAACATTTTTTATATTTGCTTCGGGTCTTTTCTTTTTCCTTTTTTTTTAAAGTTTATTTATTTATTTATTTTGAGAGAGAGAGAGAGAGAGCAAGCGAGCATGTGTGCAGGGGAGGGGCAGATAGAGAAGGAAAGAGAATCCCAAGCAGGCTCCGTGCTGTCAGTGCAGAGCCCAACTAGGAGCTTGAACTCAAAATCCATGAGATATGACTGGGCTGAAATCAAGGATCGAATGCTTAACCAACTGGGCCACCCAGGGGCCCCAGGTCTTTTCTTTAAAAATGAATGAATGAATGAATGAATGAATGAATGAATGAGTGAATGAATGAATGAGGGGTTCCTGGCTTGCCCAGTCAGTAGAGCATGCAGCTCTTGATCTCAGGGTTGTGAGTTCGAGCCCCATATTGGGCATAGAGATTACATAAAATAAATAAAATAAATGGACCCTTACTAAGAATGTTGAAATTCTCTTTGTTCTTTCTACCCAGTGGTTCTTGATTTTGCCCCCCCAGGAAATGTGTCTGGCAGCATTTTGGCTGGCACAGCATGGGGCAAAGGAGTACTACTGCCATCTAGTGAGTAGAAGCCAACGATACTGTTAAACACCCTACTTACCATAGGGCATCCTCCACAAAAAAGAAACAGTAGTGCTTAGGTTGAGAAACTAATACACAGTTCTGTTTCCTTCTGCCCTACAGATGATTACTATCTTGAATTTGGTGTGAATCTTAAAATCAGTAGTCTATTTTTTCATATATAGGAATATATTAACAGCATATAGTATAATATACTATAGTATAGTATAGTATAGTACATTTTTAAAATGTAAGTAAATAGACGGGGCACCTGCATGGCTCAGTTGGCTAAGCCTCCGACCTGATTTTGCCTCAGGTCATGATCTTGGGTTCGTGAGATCAAGCCCCGCTTTGGGCTCTGTGCTGAAAGCCCAGAGCCTGCTTGGGATTTTCTCTCTCCCTCTCTCTCTGCCCCTCCCCTGCTTATGCTCTCTCTGTCTCTCTCAAAATAAATAAATAAACATCTGGGGCGCCTGGGTGGCGCAGTCGGTTAAGCGTCCGACTTCAGCCAGGTCACGATCTCGCGGTCTGGGAGTTCGAGCCCCGCGTCAGGCCGTCAGGCTGTCAGGCTCTGGGTTGATGGCTCAGAGCCTGGAGCCTGTTTCCGATTCTGTGTCTCCCTCTCTCTCTGCCCCTCCCCCGTTCATGCTCTGTCTCTCTCTGTCCCAAAAATAAATAAATGTTGAAAAAAAAAAACATTTTTAAAAAACATTAAAAAAAGATAACCATAGTCCATACCTGGATGGCTGCACTATGAAATATTAAAAAAAAAAAAGTAGG